TGCAGCTGGGGAAAGGTTGACCTTCAGACAGAAAATGCAAGAAACATTATTCATCTGAAACTTTAGCACTCCTTCCTGGAAACCCACTAAGCAATTCGGTACTCTAAAGATATCCATGAAGAAAGTGCCTAATGAGAAAGTTTTCTTTCTGCCGAAATTCACGAGGAAGGTGGTTTTCAATGTCAGTGAGCTGTATCATAATGCTGAACAGCAATGCCCGTGCATAAAACCACAGTTTATAGCTGTACAGACACAGGTCAGATGTGTGCAGTTTTTAGGATTAGTTGTTTTAGGACAGTCATATTATTTAGGGTTGTGGAAGGCTGAGTTTAAGGAAAAGATTATCTCAAAATAGAATTAAAATGAAATTCAGCATCCGGGAGGGTGTGTGTGAGATATCCAAATAACTGCTGATTAATTTTAAACCTCTTGTATTTTGGTGATAGACCACACAAAAGCTTTCAGCACAAAAGTGGGATGGTTTTATTTTGTTTTGCTTTGGTTTTAATTTATGAAAACCAGAAACAGCATTTATGAAGAAAGTGGTAAATTAAGAGCAGGACATTCAAGACGACCACATAGATACAATCGCACATGGGACCAAGCTGAACCTGTCTGTAGATCCTGCAGACCAATTCCATTCCTAGTGCACATCCCCATGACAGTCTCTACCTGACAGGTGGTGATGCTGTAAGACACAACAGGGGACTGTGTTGCAAGCTCTGCTATTACTTAGGCTTCTTTACTCCTCCAAAGTATACTCAAATACATTTACAACTATGCTTAAAAGTCTTAGTGTAAGTCATGAAAACTGAATGGCACACAAAAATTAACCCAGTCTGGTTGGGGAGGCTGTGTCTTCAGTTATTTTTTATCATGTTTGTTCATGTAATGAATATTGCCAATTAGTAACTCATTTGCAGTAGGTCTCCTAGTCATTAGCATGAATTAGCAAGGTTTTGTTGGGGGAATGTCTCAAACATTAAATAAAAATCCTGTATCATTCAAAACCTCAAGGATACTTTGCAGTTAGACCCTCTATGGAAATCAAACTGCTCAGGTTCACCTCCCAGTCTCTCAGCCTCTGCTGTGACAGTGTGGTGGATGCTCTGTTCATCTCTCTAAGCTTCATAACCCAATTCCTGAGCAATATCCTCCTCCTCCAGAGGACAGCAGGCTGGGTCAGTGCTGGTGTACTCCATCCCTCTCAGGCCAAGTGCGTGCCAGCAGAAGCTGTGTATCTCAGGACCAGGCAAGGCTCCTCTCTCCATAGGCAGGCTTTGGTAACTGGGGCTTTGTGGTGTTGATTCGCACAATTTTCTGTAGCTCTGTATTTATTTTTCTCTTGGTACTCACAGTTCATGTGTTTAATGCAGATTGTTTATAGCAAGGACAAAGGATTACAGTCCTTAAATCAAAAGCGACGTTGGTGTAATTATAAGCGCAGGCTGGTGTGGCAAAGTGGCTGTAGGGAGAGGCTGTCAAAGGAGAAGAGCATCCAAAATATAGTAACCTCAGAAATCCTGGCTAATCAGTTTTCTGACGGGAGCAATCTGTTTCCCAGGTATTATTATTATATGGGGACTTTAAAGATAATAAATAACAATAATAGTCTAGTATAAGGAAGGAAAGAAAAGGGCAAATGCCATTCACCTCGGAAACTGTGGTTGCTCACTGGAGTTCTCCCAGGAACATAATTTTCCTTAGCCCCTGCAGAGGACTTGATCCATGACAACACAAGAACATCTTGGGTGCTGCGGTGTAAGCAACAAGATTGCCTTGAGTAGTGTTTTCATTAACATAGAGACATGGCCTGCAGAAACTATGTACCGCAGGGCAAGCATCCTGAGCCAGAGAGCTGTTCTCTATGCTGTTGGCTGGGACCGATGGTCCCTGTGGATTGCCACATTCCTTGGGAAAGAGGGCAGGCGATACACCACTTCCAGCACTCTGGTACATCTCTGGACGTTTACTTATAAAACCAAAACAAAGAAGGGCTTGCAGAGGTAAGCTTTGCAGAGCTGTACAGGGTGTGAAGGCTTCTCTCCTGCAACAAGGCAGCCTGGCTAACGGACCCTGGCTAACATATTATCAGCAGCATTTGAGTAATAGACTGCTCATTTAGTTTTAATACATTTTGCATAGAGAGCAATCAGCCTTCATCAGTCTTAGAGATGAATTGGCTTAGCCAGCTAAATTCTAAAGATATTAGTCTGACAGCAGCCACATAAATCATAACATTTTCTTAATGATGGTAATATTAAAATATACTCTTGCTTTGAGAAACCAATGAAGCCTTCCTGTTTGCAGGCCAGATCATCCTGCCTGAATTAAAAGGAAGCTTAATTGATGTGTTTTAAAACTAAACTCACAGCCCCACTCCTGAGCATCTCTTGTGTTCCTTTCTTTGAAGTTAAATTAATTTGTCCTGCCTCTCCCTATTCCATCTTCTAATCTTCAGCAGTGTCAGTGGAGACCTTGGCTCGGTGTTCATTGACCAAACTCCTATGGGAAGTGAGCAGGACATACACAACATCACAGCTGAAGGCTTTGCCAGGTTAATCATTTGTGTTGCCAGTAGTTCTTTGAGCTTATGCTTTTCCTCTAACCAACAGATGAAAGAGACCACAAGACCTCCTGTCTGTCCACCTAGCCTAGTCAAACATGACCTTTTCCTATTTCCTGTACATAGCTCCTGAAGCTGGCTTGAGATCCAGCATGTTTTTGCCAGTTAAAGCTAGCACAATCTGACTAGGACAGCTCATACATCACCCAGCTGCAGCAGAGCTGGGTACCTTGCCTGTATTAAATGTTCTGTGTGATTCCATGTGGGGCAGAACAGTTCTTTGGACCAAGGCTTGTTGCTCTCAGGAATGTCTTCCTAATGCTCCAGGCTAACCATTCTGTCTCCTGCTAAGCTGTGCTGACTGACCTTTTCTTCCTTGGCATCCTGCTGCTAGATGCAGCAAGGCACCCAGGAAGTAACCAGGACCATTTCCTGTCCCAGTGCCTTGTGTTAGGGCTCTACCTTGTCCTGCTGCTTTTCAGCAGAGCCTCTATAGAGCCTGTGCCATAGAGCTTCTCAGAAAACCTACTTTAGTAAGGTTCTGCTCACGTTAACATTCTGTACCAAAGACTTGACTGAAATCCAAGTATCTGATACCTTTGGCAGCCTTTCTTCTGCTAAGACAATACTTTTGTGGTCAACTGTAAAGATTCAGTTTCTAAAGTATGAAGTTCATTGCTATGTGGAAACCCCAGCTGTAAGCTAGAGACCCTCAGGGTTTAAGAAAGGACAGAGGTATCCTTCAGTCCTTACCTGTGCTATTTGCATGAGGGAAGGTTTTCCTGTTTCCCTTTTTGCATCCTCTGGATCAGGTTGATTTCTTAGAAATCCTCCTCTGATAGTCCTCTCCATCCTTTGCAGGGTCTTAACTGTGGTGCTAATATCTAGCAAAAGGACTAGGGGTTACTTACTGTGTACTGTGAAATGCTCGTTCCCCTGGGCTGCTCTGTGGCGTCCATACTCTGGTTTCTTGGCTGAAACGATGTGGTGGAAAAGGCAGATTTTCCCGGCAGGTGCTGCCCTGGGGTTGTGGAGCTACTTATGGGACATCAACCACAGCTGAGTTCAGGTTAGTGCTTTTGCCATTTGGGTATGTGCTCCTGCCTTCAAGGGATTAAAAAGTTCCAGATGGTGTCTCCTGTTGTTGTTTTTGTGTTGGGGCAGTGAACACCATGGAAAAGATGGGCCTAATTTGGGAGGCTGACATTGGGCTGTCTGTTTTTGGGAGTTCCAATCTGTGGCTTAAGGGAACTAAGGTGACCATGGTACCCTCCAGTGAGCTCACCTCTGAGGCCAGTTTTAAGGTGCAGTAAAGAATGGCTCTCCTTCAGGTCATTCCAGGCCAAGTGTTGCAGGCTCGTGGTTGGTTTGGCCAAGAATGGGGCCATTGCTCAGTAAGTGGCGTGCAGGATGGCTGCAGGATGCTCTTACCTCTTGGCTGTTCACTGACTTGCCAGGCAGCTTGGGCTGGTGGTGGTGATCCTTGGGTGGAGGTGTAAGTTCACCTTCCCAGGGCTGGATATGAAGGGACAGTCCACAGCTGTGTGCAGTAAGGTGTTTGACACTGTGGTGTTGAGAATCATTTCTTTCCTGGACTGTCTTCTGGCATTGCTGAGGAAGGAAAGCGCTTTCATTCGTTCTTGGATCTACCCACAGGGCTTGGAAACCTGTTCTCCCCGGTACATTGTGCCAGCTGCGTTTGTGCTGCTTGTCATCTAATAAATGCTTGGTCTGAGCAGCTAGGACTCCTGCTAGAGCCCAAATGAATGCAGAGGAAGGACCCTGCTAAGTGTACGCATTCTTCCTCTCCTGGCCAGCTCCGATTTCCCTTTCATAGCTCACATCTGATGCTTCCTCTCTCACCTAGCCCCTTAGCTCCGATGTAAATGTGTGTTCACACTTCCGCCAGTCAAGTAACTGTGCTCTCTCTGTCTCTCCCCTTTGTTACAAAGCCTGCTCTGTAAATGAATCCCACAGGTCTGGGGCTCAGCAGGTAAAAGGAGAAGTGAGTCTGTTAGCGCATGAGTCTAATCAGGCCGGCTAAAGCGAATAAAGTAGGGCAGCATTGCACATTAGCCGCTGTGTAAATGAGCCCTTTGATGGGCTGGGCACCGCGGGAGAGGGTTTGAAGCCAAGAAGAACTTTTGTTGTTAATTCAGTGACACATGGAAACTGTAAAACAGCGTGTCTTGCACACACACGAGAGGGAAAATAAAAGCCCTCACGACCGGGCTTTTCAATACCTGCCCTCGGACCTAGTCTGAAAACTTTCAGCCCCTGTCTCCCTCTCTTACCACTTGATTTTCCTTTCTCTCCCTTTCTTTTTTTGTTCCCCCTGCACTATAAAAAGAAAAGCTCTCTTGCCTTTTGAACTAGACGGCTGTGAGTGAGGGCTATCTCTGAGCTGTGTGGCTCTGTTACCTTTGTGTTCCAGATGAAACTGCCAAGCTCGGTGGGACAGAAGAAGATTAAAGCCCTGGAGCAGATGCTGATGGAACTCGGAGTAGGTGAGTAAAGGGGGCACGCGAGAGAGAAAGAGACACACAGAGCTAGCCTTTGTTCTCGAGATGGGCTATTTTTTCCCCTAGTAATACAGCCAGTTTCTTGAATAACAGTATGTGAATGGTTTTTAAAATATTTTATGTGTCTAAAAAAAAAGGAAAGAGAGGGTAAAAGCCAGAACAAGATGCACAGGGTTTTTTATTTTTTTTCCTCCCAGTAGAAAAATGTTTTAAAAGAGCCTTTGTTTCTCTCTTGTTTGGGCCTTTTTAACCATCAAGAGAGGCAGCACAGTATTAGAAGGCAAATCTCAGCCTTGCAGGGAGAGGTACTTCTAAGTGTGTTAGTGACCGCGGCACACACATTGTTCAGGGCTGCCCTGTCTTGCTTTCAAGCTTCGTTTCCTCTTAATTTACTGCTCACGGTGGCAAGTCCAAAATGCATCTGGGACTGTTCATCCCCCCTTTATAGTTTGCATGCTGTGTGAAAATCTGGAGCATCTCCGCCGAAGGGCGAGTAAACACACAGCCCTCGCTCTTGAACTCCAGTGTCTTAGCAGCAGAAAGAAGGGTTCACTTAACAGGTACAATACCCACTCGTAGCTAGAGGGAAAGAAGTGCAGCCCATGGCTAGCTGCTGCCCTTCATGCAGTGGGTACAGTTTGCAGGTACCACAGGTCCCAGCATGCAGTGCCCCTTGACTGGACACCTTTTCCCCACACTGTGGCTAGGGGGGGATTTTTAAACACAGAAAAGGAAAAAAAAGAAGGAAAAAACCCCAAACCATGACCTTATTGGTAATTTAAAAGAGATTCCTGAGCCTGCTCGCAGCACTGACTCTGTTAACTCTTGTTAATTTTTTGGGCCAACTGGTTTATGGCTTGATATGTTGTCTCGGAGACACTGCAGTTCTGAAGGCCTCCTGTGGCTGGTGAAAGTGGCTCAACCAGGGTGGTTTTCCCTTTCTGCTTTAAAACTAAAGGAGTTACCATCTTTGCTTGCTAGGGAAGCCTTGGGGAAGGATCTGAGTGCTTCTTACAGCTCACTTTCTATGAGGGTAAGGAGGGGTTCCTGACTCCCCACTCCTGCCTTAGAAAACACGTGTATCCTGAGGGCTTCCTGGTGCTCCAGCCCTGCTGTGCCTTAGAATCCATGTGGGAGTGAATGGGCAGCCAGGACCCTTCTAGGGATATTCTGTTGTAGGGTTGCAGGTCTGGGTGTTTAACAGAACCCTTTTTTTTTCTCCCTAGATCTCAACCCGATGCCCACAGAGGAGATTGTGCAGATGTTCAACGAGCTGCGGAGCGACCTGGTGCTGCTGTATGAGCTGAAGCAAGCCTTTGCCAACTGCGAATATGAGCTGCAGATGTTACGGCACCGCTATGAGGCCCTGGCCAAAGCTGGTAGTATTGGCCCCCTCACTGCAGAAGGCGCCCATCCAGATGGCCAGGCGGGGCTCGGCATCGAGGAGGTCAAGGGAGATACCAAGGACCAGATCATTGATGTAGTAGGAGCACCCCTGACCCCCAACTCGGTGAGAAGGAAGGTTGTGGGGGCAGAACAGGGAGCACTCAGGTCTCCGACGCAGATGCCCTGACAAGCGCTGGGGATGCTGCCCTGCTCTCCCTCCAGGCATGCGCGTCCAAGGGAGCACAGCACGCCTGTTTACCCCAAGTCCCAGTGCTGCTCTCTGGGCTCGTCTCCTGTGCTGGACAGTGTTCTTGGTGCTACAGGTGGGGTTGGCAGGGCTTTCTACATCCTGCATGCAGGCAGATGGCTTGACGTGGGTGCCACCGTGGACCAAAGCAGCAAGGCTTTGGGTGACGAGAGCTTGCCCTAGGGCAGCAGCAGTGATTCCATTACAGCTGCAGGCCTGAGGCATTTTCCTTCTAGACACAGCTCCATAAGGGTTTCTCAGAGGGAAGTGAGTGGGGAAAGCAGTCTTGAAATGATGAGCCATGACTTGCCCAAGTATCTGGCATCAAGCAGTAGTTCTGCCTGAAGCAGGAGGCTTGGGAAGGAGAGAGGTGTTTGAAGAGCAAAGGGGTGTTTTTATACCCTGCTTCCAGTGCTGTGAAAGGAAAGCCAGACCCTAGGGGTTCTTCCACTGCGAGCCCCGTGACAGTGTCCTGTGCATGTACCTCTGCAGGATGTGAATTACCAGCCTCTCCTCCCTGCCTCCATGAGGGCAGGCTGCCCAACCCCTCACCACTGCCTCAGGGCCAAGGGTATGCCGGGGATCAGCTGAGGTTGCTTTCCCCTCTGTGCAGTCCCCTGGCACAGCTGAGCTGAACTGCCTGACAAAAGCTGCCCGTCTTCACACAGTGGCATCCCCGACGCCTCAGATATACTGCCCCTGGTAGTGGCACAGACCTTTACTTTCTAAACTGTATAATGTATTGCAGGATATTGAGAACACCTAATCGGCAGAGGTGACACCTTAGTCTGGACTTGAGTAATGTCCTGTTTGATTGTGACAATATGGAGTCATAAGGAAGCGTTCCACTGAGACAGGTTCATGTTTGCAAAGGAGTCTTCTGAATTTTTTTCTCCCCCTTACTGCTTTCAGTCTGAAATCTTACCCCTTCCTGCGGTCCCGAGTGTCCTGGGTTGAAAACTTTTCGGGCTGATTCACAGCACACTTGCTCTCCCTTGAGACGTTGCTTGTTGGGAAGCTGGAAGAGGTGGTGGTGGTGGCCATGGCTGCAGGAGGAGGGAGCCCACGTGTGTTTTTGACCACATTGATTCTCAGTGCCACCTTCTGGAATTGGAAACAAAGGGGTGGGCCCAGGCAGCACAGAGAGGGTTAAACTGACCTGGTCTCTGACATATTTGAAAGAAATATAATCAAGTTAATTCACTGCAAGGCAAATTCAGTACCTAAAGGGCCCCCATGTTAAATACAGCACTGACCTTTACCGGCTGATTACACAAAGACGACACAATTAGATTAGTCCAAGACAAAAGGTCAAGCACATTCACACTGTGACCATTTTATGCTACCTTTTGAGGGGGGGAAAAATTACATCCCAGCTGGAGGGGTGTCTTGGAGAGAAGTGGAATGGGGCCGCTGTACCATGTTCTGCCTGGCTCAGGTATGTTTGGAGAGTCAAGCAGGGCCTGGCACTGTGCTTGCCCTGAACCCAGCCAATGTGGCAGTGAGAGAGACAAGCAGCCTGTGACCCACAACCAGCTTTTCCAAGGATGGGCTGACCTGAGTGGAGGCCATGTGTTGACGATGCTCCCTGCCCTGCCCACATCCAGCAGGAGCCTTCCCAGTGCCTCTCACTTAGCATCACGGCTAAAATTGGTCTCTGGAAGGTAAATGGCTTGGGGTCAGCTTTGAGAAGAGCTGGGGTAGGTGCTGGCTGGTGAGGTGTGTGGATGTGTGTCCTGGGTTTGGGGTTATCCCTGCATGAGGTAGGTGACACCTTGCCCTTCCTCTCACCAGGTTTAACCCTGCCACGCCAGCCTTGAGCTCCCCAGTTCAAGCGTGTTGCTTTGCCACTGAGCTGCTGGGGGCACTTGGGGGAATCATTTAATCTCCCTGCTTCAAATTCCTCTGGGTTGGAGAAGCCCTTTGTGCTGTCTAGCACTGCCCATCCGTGGCACTCCACATGTTGGATTAAGCATGGATTAGTTTAGCCTCCAAACCAGCTGCTCCCCTGAAGCCAGATTTGCTTCCCTAGAGAGAAGTATCTTGCTCCAGATGTTGGAGGGAGTGAGTGGCAAAGCCGGGAATAGGACTAAGGAGTCCTGACTCCTGAGCCCTGCCTGGCATGCCTGGATTCCTTCCTAGGAATTGGAACAGATGGGCAAAGGCACAATGGGGTGTTGAGATACTGTTTGTGGCAACATCTGGCTGCCTCCATCCCCCTTGTCCAGCAGTGGGGATGGAGGCATCTCAGAAGGGAGTTAGGGGTGGTCCTGGCAGTGAGACCCTGCGGGGCAATGGGAAGCTGGTTACCGGTCTACCTCACCGTGTCCACTGCATCCCGGCTGCCCTGGCTGCCTGTCCACCCTCCCCGAGGCACTGCGCTCCCGTTGCTGACCATTAAAGCCGAGCTGGGATCCCCCCAGTGCCGTCTGCCGCTGACCCTGGTAGGGGCTTTACTCGGGGCCTTTGGGAGGTGAAAGGTGAGCCGAACTCAGAACAAATTAGTTCCAAGCAGAAGTTCAGCCAGTTACTCCAGATTGGATCCTTTGATTTCCGCAACTCAGACTCCACTCAGTGATCTGTAATGAGTGACTCTCAGAAATCCTCACATTGCAGCACTTTGTTCCTGAGCTCACAAGTCAGCCCATTAATGGGTAAAGGAAAGGACCTTGAGTCTAAGAAGTCTCGGGTTCAGAGTCAGAATTATTTGACTTTTAAGCTTCCTTTATCTGAACTCCTGCTGACTTCTTGTTTTCTGAGCCTGTTTGAAAGCTAGAAGTTACATTGTTAAGATCAAACATTCTCTCTTTCCAGATGGAGTTACAATATCTGTCTTTTATATATATATTTTAATATATATAGTGTATATATACCAGGGTGTATATATAGACCTCTCCTTTTTTTTTTAATCGTTCTTTCCATTAAAAGAAACTAGACTTGTAAGCTCTTGTAAATTATAATGTAAAACATTTTTTTTAACCAGACAGTTCCCAATTTTGCCCAAGGCAACTGGAATAGCTGCGCCACAGAAGGCAATAGGAAGGTGATTAATATGAATTTGTGACATATTTGAAAGATGGGTCTTTTGCCATATAAAGATTATCAAACACATGTGCTCTTCCCCATTAATTCCACAGCCCTCCCAGGGAAGCCACAAAGCCCAGCTCCTTTGTTTCCAGGGTGGGTTTTTTGTTTTTTTAAATGTACCTTTTGGTCCCCTTGATTACCACGGATTTGGTTTTTATAGGGCATCTGCTCACACTGCTGCGTGGGTTCTCTGGCCCTTTTATTTCCCCGTTAATCGGATCCCGCGAAGGCAGCCGTGCCAGGGCCTCTGACAAAATCCGTGTGTGTGTTGTATTTAACTTTTAGCCGTGCAAATTCCATGCTCTGTTTGCCGTCCGCCCGGTGCCCAGCGGGAACTGGGGGCTGCCTTCCTGCTGGTGGTGGAGGCAGCGGGGCCTCCCACGATGAGCGCTGGGCTTGATCAGTTTGGAGAGCATGTCCGTTGCTGCCTTGTCCAGCCCCTGGGTGCTTGCTGGCCTTTGGGGACAGGGGGTATCTGCAGGGACATGATCGCAGCCACCAGCCTCTGCCACTGCCTGTGGTGTGTTGTGCAAAGTGGATCCCAGCCTCAGGGCTCCGGCTTGGTGTGACCATACAGCACCCAGCACATGGGGTACCTGGTGGCTCTGGCATGCCTGGAGCACCCTGCACGCAGAGTCCACCTTGGAGTGCTTACAGACCACTGCATGGTCTTTAGAGCCTGTGCAGTGCCTTGCAGAGAGGCTCCCTGCAATGCAGTGCTAGGGCTGAGGGAATGTTCCCTGTTTGGTGTAAACGGTCCCATTTTTCCTATGGCTGGATTCAGCCCACACCTTGACTGTGAAGGATAAGGATTGCCACAGCCCATCAGTCTCACTCCTGTGTATTGGTGTGTGCTGCCCAGAAAAGAGGTGGTTTTTTTGAGGGGCTGTGGTTCTCTGTCAGCCTCCTACTTTGCTCCTGGGCCACTTCACTGCAGGTCTGGATGGTGGAGCAGCAGTTCCAGGCTCTGCCCTGTCACATGCTGAGCATCCGTTGCATGGCTGGCTGTAGTGCAGAGCTGCTCTGCCCCTCTCTCGAGGCTATGCTCCTAATGGCTTGTTGCATCCTAGCTTGCTCAGTCAGGGTCCTGGGGCCACTGGGTTGCCTCAGAGCTCAGCCCCTTTCTCCTGCTCCCTCCCAGACCCTGTGCCAAGAAGGTGACCATCCCAAAGCCCCGTCCCAGAGGCCCCAGCCATGTTGTCCCTGGCATTCACCATCAGGCCCAGCTCCTCCTGCTGCCCTGCCCAAGGCAGGCAGACACCTCTGGCTTCAGTCTGCAGTGAGGTCCCTGCACCCCATGGTTTGCAGGGCTTTGGAGGGGCTGCAGGGTTGCTGAAGTCAGCAATGGGAGCCTGGGTTTGTGCAATCCCCACTGTGGGCACCATGGCCCTGCTGTGAGCCCCACTACTGCTGCCCACCCCACGTCCCCTCCACCTGCCTTTCAAGTGTAACTGGTGATCGATCCGCTGTGACAACGTCCTCTGAGTCACATTCTCGCCTGCAGGAGGAAAGGGCAAAGGCCAAGTTCTTAGTTTTCATAGAAAACTAATTAGACGACTCCATCGAAAATGGGTCAATAAAGCTGATCAGGGGCTGCTCAGAGGGAGCCATTAAAACCCCTGTGACCTTTGCTGGAGCGAGTGGGATGGGGCTGCCCCTTCCCTCTGGGATCTCCCCGTTCCATGCCAGCTGGACAGCTGAGTCCCTGTCGCACCGCAGCACCAGGCAGGTCCCTTGGGCACGTGGATGCGATGGTGGTTCCTGCACGGCCCGCGTATGGCTCCTGTGCATCGTGGAGCTGCTGCTTGCATGGCAGAGCCATGCTGCCTGTAGCAGGGATGCTCTGTGATAGCAGCTATGTGGGCACAGTGTGCCAGGTTGCAAGGTGAGGTGACAGATGCCAGTGGGACGTGGTGGTGGCACCCATTGGTGCAGCCTTGTTGGGACAGGCTGGTTGCATCCTTGGTGGCTGTCCTGGGGTACAAGCAAACATAAGGTGGTGGGAGAAGCTGCTGGGAAGTGTTCCCAGTACCAGGGAACCCGGACCTCCCATTCACAGCCAAAAAGCTTGTCTTGGTAGGGAGCATGGACATACTGGGGTGCTGTATCCCAGAAAGGACAGCCCCATCCATGGGGCACCCAGGCAACACACACCTCTGCATCCGCTCCCCCTGTACACACTCGCACATGGATGGGCAGAGCCCGGGCTCCTTTACCCCCAAACTTTATTCATGTGGCACATTTACAGCAAGGATTGGAATAACTAGACAATGAAAATGCTGGGTTTGCATTATCGGTTGGTTTAACTGGAACACCACACACCATGCAGTCATGTACCGCCAAGTTCAGTGCCTGTATTGCCCTTCTGGCTGCCGTCACCGGCTTCGCTCCAGGCCATGCACGCACGGGCCCGGGGCTGCAGCCTCCCTGCTAGGTCAGCACCCGGACGAGGGCTCCATTCAGCAGGGCCCTGGGGCTGGGTGATAGGTGACACTTTTCTGGGGGGGGGGGTACGGGACACGACACATGTGCCCTCAGCCTGCCCCATGGCTGCCCCCCAACCGCCCTGGCCGGCCGGGAGCCCACCCAGCCGGAGGGGATGTGCTCGGCAACTCTCAGGCAACAAGCCAGCTGCTGCTGAGCGTCCGCGGGGACGGGGGTGGGGGGGGCCCGAGCCGCAGCTCGGGGTCGGAGGGAGGCCGGAGGGGGTCGGAGGGGAGCGAGACCGGGGGCACGGGGCAATTTGCAGCTCCCCTGCTCGGGTACCTGTGGGCCGGGGGCCAGCGCTCGCTGGCACGTCCACCGCCGGCGACCGACGCGGTGCTGTGGCGGGCCCGTCCCCGGTGGAGCTGGGATCGGTCGGCGGGGCCGGGGCAGGGCTCGGGCATCCCACTCAGCCCTGCAAGAGGCACCAGCAGGCGGGACGGGGACGGGGCTCCGCGTGGATGCTGTCACCTCCCTCTTGCCGCCCGCCCGCTGGGCCCCTGCCCCACTGAAGGGAGCCCTCCGGGGCCCCGCAGCCCACGGTGGGGCTGCCAAGGGGCTCTGCAGCGGAGAATACAGGCACTTCACCTTGAACATAAAGAGACGGATCGCGTTTGTCACATACAGGAGTCAGAGAGGGGTTAGTGTTGACTCAAAAAGGGGGGAGAGGCGCTCGGGGGAGAGGCGGGGGGGCTGGCAGGGAGGGCGAGGGGCCGTCTCGACACTGCTGAGCCTCCGTGAGCGCTGCCCGGGCGCAGGCATCGCTGCAGCAGCCATCGAGGCCTGGAAACATAAAACCAGAGAAAAGAAAGAAGAAGGGAAGGTGGGGACGGCCCATGCCGGGGAGGGAGGAGATGGAGGGGGGGGGGGATGCTCTGGCTACGGGGTGGGAGAGGGAGGATGGGGTGGGATATGGAGGGAGGGACGGAAATTGGGAGCCAAAGAAAAAGAACTACGAGTCTAAAATGTGGTGCAAGCGCCCTACGCGGCTGTCCGCTAGCATGGCATAATGTCCGGAGCAGCCCAGAGAGGGAGTCACATCAGGTCTACACAGATTTGCCTTCCCATATATACAACCTCTACTGGAGTTAACAGCTGAAATTGAGATTTTTTGTGTCGGTTCCTCTGGCCTCGGTTGCCGTTTTGTTTTTAATGCTGGAGCCCGTCCTCCCCGCCTCGCCGGCGCCGGGCGCATGCAGCCCTTGCCTGGCTTGCCTTGGGGATCAAAAGGGTTTGGAGGTCTGCTTGAAGATGAAGCCTCTATGGGCCAGTGTCTTCATGATGTTGGCGATGTTCTTACAGTCATCTGCAGAGAGAGAGCACAGAGGTACTGGGTTAAAGCCACGATCAGACCAGGACCTGTTGGATCAAGCTCCCAGTTCCAATGCTGGGGCCGTGCAGCTCCAGGCACAGCCCCTGTGTCCACACCAGTCCAGGCACTCTGTCCCGAGTGCCCTGCAGTGCTGTGGGGTGAGTGCGGGGTCCCCAGCTCCCCAGCATTGGTCACCTGCATCCCAGTATTGCCCCATGCTGCACTGGGATGGATGCATGCCCAAGACCTGGAGGCTTGGCATTGCCCAGGCTGCAAGTGGGTACATCCCTGGCTTCTCCAGGCTGGTGCTTGCCCCACAGCCCATGGGGAGCTGGTAGATTCAGAAGGCAGCATTCCTGCAAGACAAGCCCATGACAGTCTCTATCTCTTGGCCAGTGGCTGCCTCCCTGCAAGCCTAGTGCCAGTCTCCTGTTCCAGCACCCCTGTCCCTCAGGTGCAATGGCCAGCAAAGGGGCTGTCCCTGCACTGGGATGGGGACAGAAAGTGATGCTGGAGCTGCCCTCCACCAGCCAAGCCTGGTCCGCACCTTCCCCTGGCCCTCATGCAGGGGCTGTGTGGCACTGGGCTCTCTCTGCACTTCGGGGTTGTCCCTGTCCCCACCAGAGCCAGCCTTTGGTGCTGCCCCGTGCGCACCAGCCCCATGCTAAGTCAGACCACGGTCGAAGCGGATGCCGGGGTCCATCCAGCAGTTCCATGACCACCAGCGCAAGGGGTGGCCGTAGCAGCAGCCAGGAGGGGGAAGGCTCTGGCTGGTGTTATTTACCTGGGACTAAACTCAGGCACCGTTTGCTAAAATAGAAGCCGGGCTTAAATTGATTCCTAGTGTCTATATTTCATGTTGAAAATTGGCTTGTAAATCCATGTTTTGATCTATGAGGGCCGTCTCCTTAAGAAAAAGCAAGAGTAAATGTGTAATTTCTCCCTTGACAGCACACGGCGCAGAGGCGATCCTTCTTCCCGCTCCCCTCCGTTTCGGGACAGCTCCACTCGCTCCGATTACCACTCTTTCTTCCTCGCCCCACGCCTTGATGTCTCCATTTCATTACCGCCCGCCCATTTATCAAGCTGTTACCGTAAGGGTGACTTTGCCCACTTGCATGTGGCAGCGGGGCCCGTCTGACACGGGGAGAGGGTGCCCCGGGAAGGGGGGGGAGCAGGCAGGGCCCCCCTCTCCCTGCCGCCGCTGGATGGATGTTGTGGTGGAGGG